CACACACACACACACACACACACACACACACACACACAGCTAGCTAGATTGAGTTATGGTATGAAACATCCTACCCTAGGTATGAAACATCCTACCCTGACTTTATAATTGAGCAAACATATTTAGAGAAGGTGTAAGTGGTTAAATTGCCTTTGTAAATTGTTTTAAACATTTGTCAATGCCATAAAAATATTTTTGGTTTCTCAGATGTTCATGGCTTATACATATTTAAGGCTTATATCATCCTTCCTATTCTGAGCAGGTCCAGTTCTTATTACTTCTCATATCTGGGGACACTCTACACTGCCCAGTCCCCTTTCCAGCGAGATCTTGTATGTAAAGTACCTGTGCTGGTATCCGACATGTGGGACATACTCAGTAACTCATCTGACTGCCATTGAGTTGATTCTGACTCAAAGCGACCCTATAGGGAAGAGTAGGACTTCGCTTTGGGGTTTCCAAGATACGGAAGTAGACAGCCTCATCATTCTCCAGAGTAGCAGCTGATGGGTTCGAACTGCTGACCTTGTGGTTAGCAGCTCAGTATGTATGCTACCAGGACTCTTTCAGTGAGTCCTAACTCTTGTAATGCCAGCATATAAATCTGCACATAGCCTATTTTTAATTTTTTCTTTTTGTTAATTTCTCCCTAATTGATAACATCTTAGAATTTCATAAATGTAAAGAACCACAAAAGTCAGGATTCTACTGTCAACTTGTGCATGTTACGTCCCTTTGTAACAATTCCTTCTAAGAATCTTTCCAGGGGGCATTTCAATGCATCTGTGGCAGAAAAGCCATCTCACTCGACACACTCATCCAGCACCAGACATTTCTAGATGACTGCCGTTTTTCTCCACATTTGTTAGAAATTTGACTCTCAGAAAAGCTTGCCAATTAGCCCTTTTTCGCCTTGTGAACTCTTGAGAGATATCTTTTCCCTCTGTGTGTCAGTATTGTATTGTCTGTATTGTCTGTAGTGTCTGTATTGGAAGAGGGAACTCTTCCTCCAGTCAGAGAGCTTGAAGTGTCAGGTCAGCACAGATGTTCCTTCCATGAGACTCTCTCTATGTGGAGCTTCTGTCCAGAAGGAAACATGCCATTCAGACTGTGACTGGACTGCTCTGGAGCAAGAGTCCACTTGTTCTACATACATCTTTATTTATGCAAACTGAGTTAGCTTTAATGCCTTAATTCTTTCTGTATCAGGAAATTAAAGAGGTACTAAACAGAGGGCTCTTTATGCAATGTTTGATTTGAGTGCCTTTACCTTTATTGTTTGTTGAACGATGGGCGGATAATGCTTTGAGCATTTTATTTCCCCTGGCAATTAATCATGGACTCCATGGTGACTCTTGGCTAAAGTGACAACGCAGGTCATGACTCCACTGCGTTCTCCCTGTGCTTCCCTCAGCATGCAGGCCATCAGGTTCAGTGGTCTTCCCCTCTAATTTCAGGTCATCCCGCTCCTCCTTCGTGGACGAGGACTGTGACTCTCTGGCCCTCTGTGACCCCATGCAGAGGATGAACTGCGAAGTTGACAGTCTGCCAGAGAGCTGCTTTGACAGTGGCTTGTCTACGCTGAGGGACTCCAATGAGTATGACTCTGAAGTGGAGTACAAGCACCCGAGGGCCTCTCAAAGGTCACAGTGTGCCCGGGAGAGCTCTGGAGGGGATGCTTCAGATACAGATGTAAGCCCAGCATTCCCTGCTCTCCCAGGTCTCACCTTTGATTACATGCTGCTGCTTTTGAAGGTCTCTGGTGGCACAGGCATTAAGCACTTGGCTGTTCGCTGAAAGACTGGCAGTTAGAACCCGCCAGCCACTCTTCAGGACAAATATAAGGCCATTTGCTTCCATAAAGATGATAGCATTGGAAATCCTCAGGGGCAAATCCTGTAGGGCCACTATGGGTTTGGATCAACTAAACAGCAACAGCTTTGCTTTTTGTTTTGCTTTGTTTATTTGACTGCCATCTCTCACGGGAATCCAAATGTTCTAAACGTGAGACATAACCAGCAAGAGTTTTTCCTAACCAAGTTAAGGTGACATTGTTTATAGATTGGTAATTACAGCCACACTGGTGCCTAACAATGTCAACTGTAGATTCAGCCACAAACTTTGCTTCTTTTAAGTTTGTGGGATGTGTGGCCTCTGGTGGCAAATGGTCTGCATTCATCTAGTAACCAGAAGGTTAGCGGCTTGAATTAGCCCCAGGCACGGCAGAAGAAACGCCTGGAGGCATGCTTCTCCAGAGGTGACAGCCAAGAGAACGCCAGGGACAGCCCTGTAATACCCAGGTCACCATGCGTCGTCGGAATCAACGTGAGGGCGAAGGTTTGCTGATTTGGGTCTTGGTAGATGTGTAATGTGATCTTAGGCTTTTAACTGATTTTCTTTCTCTTTCTTTTTTAAACATAGGTTCCTGAGATAAGGGATGAAGAGATATATGGTTCTGTCTTGGACTGGAAGCCTCCAGGGCCTGTGAGTGAAGGCAGCTCTGTGAGTTCTTTGAGAAAACCGATTTCAGCACTTTCACCACAGGTAAGTTGTTTCGGAAGCATTCTTACGTACAAATCATGTCGAGTTTCTCTGCTCTCTTACTTAGTAGGAGGAAAGCTGGCATAGGCCTAATTACTCACTGTAATTTCCCCCTTAGACAGACATGGAAGACGACACCCAGAAAGCTAGCTCACAGAAGGCTTACAAGATTGTGCTTGCAGGGGACGCTGCAGTGGGGAAATCTAGTTTTCTCATGAGACTTTGCAAGAATGAATTCCGAGGAAATACAAGTGCCACTCTGGGTATGGTGTCTATTTCAATGAGAAAATCACTTGTTCTGGATTGCTTTTATTTGAGATAGCTCTTTCTATCTACCTACTTACTGGTCTATCAGTCTAAGTACACATATACATATACATATGTGAGGGCTTCTTAAAGTTTGTGGAAAAATGGAACTGAAAGATAGTGGCATTCTCCATGATCTTTAGAAGCCTTCTTGTATACACCAAGGATTGTCAAGCCAATTTCCGCCTCTGTGACTTCCGGGGTATCAGAGTAGTGCTGTGCTCCACAGGGATTTGAATGTTCGAGTTTTCAGAAGGAGATCCTCGGGCCCCTCTTCCACAATGCCTCTGGGAGATTTGTACTTCCAGAATGTCATTGAGCAGCTGAGAAGGTTAATTGTTTGCATCACCCTGATACACTACATCCACATATAATTGTGTACACAAGACACATGCACACCCCTACATCGCTGGGCATGTAGAACATCAATGTCTATAGATTAAATCATTACCCTCATCTGCGGATGGTTTATCTGCTCACACATGTAGCCTGACATACATAATTAGCCCATGAAGATCGCTCTCCTTGAAGGCAGTGTCTATTCCTGTCTAACTCACTGAGCTTTTGTCTCATCTAAAGTAGGTTTGAAAGTAGAAACCAGTGAAGTGGTTCACATCCTGTTCTCTGTTCTCATCTTCCTTTTCAGGAGTTGATTTCCAAATGAAAACTCTCATTGTGGATGGAGAACGAACAGTCCTGCAGCTCTGGGACACCGCTGGTCAGGAGAGGCAAGTGGTCTTCATTATTTGGGGGGCTCTGGGTAGGGTTGAATAGACCAGCCCTGTAGAAGATTGTATGTTTTTTATGTTCCTACTTTAATTTCAAGAATGGTCAAAAATTTTCATATCCCAGGCTTGCTTTCTTCATTTATGGATCAGTTGTAGGAGAGGAAGACCTTTTAAGCTTTCATTGAGCTGATGATGTTCATGCAAATGTGAGTGTTCCTTCTTAACAAGAATTTAGGTGACTCAACACTCCTGAATGCAGTGACAATGTGAGAAGCCATTTGGTGATGGGATGATAATTAGTGGGAGATGGTGACTACTCTGCCCCCGTTAGTTCAAGGTCAAAGGCCTGAACTACTTAGCAGACTTGCACTTCTTGATTCTGCCTTCTTTTGCATTCATGGGCAGTGCCTGGAACTCTGAAGCATAGGCTTTCATCTCGTCTAACTCTTTGGGAATGGAATCCATTCAGCTGTTAAAGAAGGATGTGTTGGGCACCTGCCTCCGTATTAGGGACCATTCAGAAGACTAAGATTGAATCATAAACAGTCAGAAATAGCTGTCCCCATGGAGTTTATATTCTTCACTCCTTTGAGCTTTAGAATTTAACAAAATATCTGTGGTGAACGTGGTCCTGTTTAAAAGTACTTATAAATATTTGACTTGGTTTTCAGATAAGCAAAGAGGTTGAGATAAGCTCATTTCCCATGAAACCCCATCTTCTCACCTTCCATGAATGTAAAATATCTTGCACATGATGATGTTTGACAAATATTAATTTTTCTTTCATCATCCTTAATACTTCCTCTCAACCGAATTGTTTACATAAGAACTATAAGGATTGTGCAGGACCAGGCGGAGTTCCCTTATGTTGTAGACAGAATACTCTGAGTTGAAACCTATAGACAGCATTTAACAACAGCAATAACCTACCTACCATGTTGTTGCTGTTAGTCCCCGTGCGTTGATTCCAGCTCTAGGTAACCCCATGCTCCTTAGGTTTTTCAAGTCTAAGACTTTTGGGAAACAGCCCACTGGTGCTGTTTTCTGAGGCACTCTGGATGGGTTTGAACAGCCAAACTTGACCAGTAATCATGTGTTTAACTGTTTGTGTCACCCAAGGAGTCCTTCATACCTTCTATACCTCTTCAAAATGATTTTTCTAGAATGTGAGCCTCTCTGTGACTCACATGTGGGCCTTGTTTTTAAGGTTAAAGAGTGTCCTGGTTATGTTTAGGGGTTTCTGGACAGTCTTGAGATTGTGTTGGAGAAAATGGTCCATAAAGCCCAACTCACTGCCATGGAGTTAATGCCGACCCATACCTGAGTAGGACAAGGTCGAGCTTCCCTGGTGGGTTTCCAAGTCTGTAACTCTGTACAGGAGTAGAAAGCCTCATCTTTCTCTCCACGGAGTGGCAGGGGGTTTCGAATGGCCAACCTTGCAGTTCGCAGCCCAATGGAAGACCACTGTGGCACAAGGGCTTCTAAACTAGCAGCCCAGATTCTCCTCCTGTTAACTTCCACTGGACCATACGAGGCCGTAGAGATGGCTATTTCATAGTAATGTGTTTCTGCTATATTGGGGAAAAACAAGGGGGCACTAAACTGACTGAGTGATTGGAATCCTCACTTATACCCTTCTCTTCTTCCAGATTCCGAAGTATTGCCAAGTCTTACTTCCGAAGAGCAGATGGTGTTTTGCTGCTGTATGATGTCACATGTGAGAAAAGCTTTCTCAATGTACGCGAGTGGGTGGACATGATTGAGGTAAGAAATCAAAACAAGGAAACAATAAAACTACACAGGGAGTTCATGGGTCGTTTCTGAAAGTGGTACCACTCTTCTTCTGGGTGGACTGCATTAGAAACCAGGGATCCAAGCTACTGGGAGACCAGGATGTGAGAGGTAGAGTTCCGGTTGGCACTGGGCAGGCTTTGTCCCTACCTCGGTAGCAATGCAAGATTCCACGAAGCCCAGGAGACAACTAAATGGAACTTCTGAGAATTAAACTTCCAGGTTTTCTTTTCTTTTCTTTTTCTACCTAGGTACTTTGACTTTATTCAAGATGCCAGGGGCATTATTCCCACTTTACAGGTGCCTAAGCTTAGCATGTAGAAGACAGAATAATGAGGCAGAAAGCAGAGAATAAAACCTCTTTGTTTTCTAAATTATCTGTGGTCACATTTTTATGGCACTGTAGTTAATGTTTAAAAGTTCAGACGCCAATGTGCAACAAAACAAAGCTTCAAATCTGCACTCTTTCTTTTCCACTCTTTCTTGGGTGGCCTAGACCCATGCTTAGCAGCTCATTCCTTGCTATGGGAACTTGGTCTACCCAAAATAATGAAATTATTCCAAAAAATTAACTGTGTGTTCTCTGTAAAATGTCAATACATTTCTCAAAGATACTCTTTTAAGCCAGCTACCTGGTCCGTGCCAGAGAAAGATTGGGCGAGTTACTAAGGAATTTCTCTTCAGGAGTTCAAACTCTACAGTATTAACCCATCTTTGTTGAATCTCTCTCTTTAAAAAAAAAAACTTTTATAAATCGTTATATTATGGGCTCTTATAGCTCTTAGGACAATCTATATATCAATTGTATCAAAGACATTTGTACATATGTTGCCATCATCATTTTCAAAACATTTTTTTTCTACTTGAGCCTTTGGTATCAGCTCTTTTTTTTTTCCTTCCCTCCTCCCCTCCCACCCTCATTATCCCCTGATAAATTATAAATTATTGTTTTCATATCTTACACCATCCGCTGTCTCCCTTCTTCACCCACAGTTCTGTTGTTCATGCCCCCCACTCCCGCTGGTATATGTTGATCATTTCGATCAGTTCCCCCTTTCTTCCCCCACCTTCCCTCTACCCTCATGGTATCACTGTTCCCATTACTGTCCCTGGGGGTTATCTCTCCTGGATTTCATGTGTCGTGAGCTCTATCTGTACCAGTGTACATGCTCTGGTCTATCCAGATTTGTAAAGTAGAACTGGGGTCATGATAGTGGCGGTGAGGACGCATTAAAGAACTACAGAAGTGGTTCACAACCTTCCTAATGCTGTGACCCTTTAATACAGTTCCTCATGTTGTGATGACCCCCAACCATAAAATTATTTTCATTATTAATTCATAACTGTAAGCTTGCTACTGTTATGAATCATAATGTAAATATCTGATATGCAGGATGTATTTTCATTGTTAAAAATTGAACATAATTAAAGCATAGTGATTAATCACAAAACAATATGTAATTATATATTGTGAAATATTTATTTCTATTAAAAATAATTGAAATTTTGTCTTGAAGCATGGTGTAGCATGGGTAACAGTCTTCATGTTGGGTACTTGTATGTGGGTATATCTGCTTGTGGGTGGACCCGCCTGGAGACGGAAAGAGGAGCATTGTCTGGGTTCCTAAAACCATCAGAAATATGTGTTTTCTGATGGTCTTAGGCGACCCATGTGAAAGGGTGGTTCTACCCCAAAAGGGGTCGTGACCCACAGGTTGAGAACTGCTCTACTAGAGGAATGTTGTGTGTTTCATTGGTGCTATACTGCACCCTGGATGACTTGTCCCTTCCTGGCGACCCTTGGGCTTTGGGTCTCCTCTCTGTTCCTGCTTATTCGAATCAGTATGATTCTTTTGGGTCTTGTGATGCCTGATACCTGATCCTGTTGTATACCTCGCGATCTCATAGGATGGTGTGCTTCTTCCATGTGGGCTTTGTTACTTCCCTGCTAGATAGACGCTTGTTTAACTTCAAGCCTTTGAAATTAACCCCAGACCCTATATCTTTTAATAGCTGAGCACCATCAGCTTTCTTCATCCATCAGCTTTGTTCAGCGATTTTTCTTACAGATAAAATCAGAACCACATTGGAAGCAGGTGAAGATGCAGGTACTCAAAAAAAAACAACAAAAAAACCAACAACCAAAAAGCCAAACCAGAAGTTTCTATCATAAATAAGGAACAGAAAAATAAGATTAGTAGCCATGTGGGGCCATAGTTGCATGTATGTAGTAGCTTTGACATGTAGAAAATGAGAGATATCACTTGACTATAAACATGTGCTGAGGTCCAAGTTCACTGAGAGCTGTCTCTCAACTTTCCTCTGGTTGTGAGTTCACATCTGTAGACATCCCACAGTGCCATTGAAGTAGTGATTGGTCTTTTAATCATGTGTGAGGATATCTGTGCTTCCGTTGGGTTAGATTAGACAATGCCTTTCATCTAAGGAATTTTCATATTTTTACTTTTATTTCTTTTCTTTTAATTGTGGTCCAACATACATAACATAATTTATAGTTACCATTTATAAATGTACAACTTAGTGGCATTAAGTACAGTGACAAGTTTGTGCAATTACCACTGCTGTCTATTTCTAAAACCTTTCCATTCCTCCCAACACAAATTAAATCGCAATTCCCTAGTCCCTGCTTCCCCCAGCCCCTGGCAGCCAGTCTCCTAATTTCTGCACTCACATACACAAGTGTTTATCCTTTATGAATATAGCTTATTTCATTTAGCATGTGTCCAAGGATTATTCATATTGTGGCATGTGACAGAGACTGCTTGCTTTTTCATGGGTAAGTAGTAGTCTTGTGGATCTTGCAGTTTGTCCTTTTATCTGTTGGTGTACATGTGACTGGTTCGTACCTTTGAGCCATTGTGGATGAAGTTGTTCTAAAGTTTATGTATAAGCATCGGTCTTGAGTCGTTGTTTTCACCTCTGAGAGATACATGCATAGGAGTGGATCTGCTGGGGCAGATGGTAATTCAATGTGTAACTCTCGAGATCTTAAGGAACTACTGGACTGTTTTCCAGTAGTTGTAACATTTTACATTCTCAACAGAAGTGGATAAGTGTTGCAATTTCTCCACATTGTTGGAAATACTTGTTATTTTTCCCTTTAAAATGTTTTATTTTTTATAATAGCCATCCTAGCAAATAGAATTTATAAGTGGGAAATAACTATGAATACATTTAGCGTGCTTCAAATAGTTATTCATTTGTTTGAAATATAATACTGAATCTCAAGCTATGGTTCAGCACTTTTTCTTGTAAATCATCTAGGGGCTAATACAGCAGTTAGGGTGATATGCCATCTGTAACTTTTGATAGGCATTAAAGCATAGTGGTGGTGAAACAGAAAACTGATTATTGTTGGATCTCAAGGTCACCTTTGGACTCTGCAATGGGACCTACTTCATACTCTGAACAACAGGATCAATATTCCCTTTCTAACTAAACCAATATTAAAAGTATGACTGATTGCAGTTGGCAATAAGTTGTAGAAAACACTAAATGAATATGCATTTTCCAGTGGCATCCCATGCCTTAAAATTATTATAAACATGAAACTGTTTACCTTTGTGTAATGCTTTTATTTCATAAAAATTTCCATTTAGGATATTCATGTGTGCAACATAACTTTAAAAGAAGCAAGAAACATATTGTTATTCTCATTCATTTTTTATGAGAAACTTGAGGCATAGAAAGTATGAGACACTATCTTGTAGTTGTTTTATGGTTAGCGGTAGGACCGGAGCTAGAAATGGGCTTGCTGATTCAATACTAGTAGCTCCTTCTATAAGGCACCAAGGTGAGCAGTATATTAATAAAAGAAGCTCCTGATGTCAAGAACCTCCTGTGTGGAGCAAAAGGAATCTACGCCCCAGGGAACAAATGAAGCTCTTTGGGATAGAGCACTGGGTTTAGGGGATCTATGGCAAAGCTCTTGTTACCACTAAAAAATTTGAACTCAGTTATCATTTTAAGTTGTGGTATTATGGTATGGTGAGAAAGAGTGAGACAGACAGACAAAGATCAGTCATGAGTTGAAATAGTCCTTATGTAGAGTGATCAGCCATAGCATGTGCCAGGAATTGCACTGTCAAAATATGATAAACACCTACATGTGGTGGTGCTGTGGGTTAGGCATTCATTTGCTAAACTTGATGGCTCAAACCGACCACTGGCTTCTCCAGGGAAAGATGCGGCTGTCTGCCCCCATGAAGGTGGACAGTCTTGGAAACCTGACTGAGAGGTTCCACTCCGTCCTCTCGGGTCACTGTGAGTTGGAGTCAGTTCATTGGCAGTGGGTTTGTTTGGGGTCAGAGGAACTTGAGAAGAATGGAGGCCAAATATCATTTCATTATTTTAAAAGTCATGTCTTTCCTTCTTTCTAACGTGTTCCTGAAGTATCACCTGCTGTTTACAGACACTGCTGCTGTCTGTCAGGACTGCTGCTTCTCTGGATTAGAACTGGAAGTCTGTTTTTCCGTGGTAGCCAGGCGACCATCTTTTATTCAAATCGTATCCCAATGAGGTGGGATATTCCCTAATTAACCCTCTCATTTTCCCAATAGGGAAATTCAGGCAGAAATGCAGAGAGACACGCCTAGTCTCTCATGGACCAGTGGTGGGAGATCAAGTGTAGAACCATCACTCACAGTTGGCATGAGCACTGGGTCATTGTGAATGATATGTGTATGCTGACTTGGGACCCTCAGAATTAGAATTTGCTGCTTTAGCGATTGATCATTGGTGTTCCGTAAGAAAAAGAAAAATCGGCCTCCAGACTCTGCTGCTTTCCTTTCATTGCAAAGCAAGTGACAGTGAGTGTGGAACTTTCAGACTCTGTTCTTGTCGTAGCGTAATTGCAGAAGCACCTTAGACCTGGGGGCGTGACGGGCTTCATGATCACCACGGTCTGAAGAGAACAGTATAGAAAATGAGGTGAGCCCGGCAGGCAAAGGGGCCTGTGTGGCCAAGTTTCCAGAGTTTATCATGGCTTGCAGTGTTCTGTATGCTAGAAACAAGAAATTAGGAGCTGCAAATTTCCTTTGCCATAAACAGGATTGATTTTTTTAAAAAAAAATCCTTTTATTGGGGGCTCATACAACTCTTCTCACAATCCATCCATCCATCGTATGTCAGGCACATTTGTAGATTTGTTGCCTTCATCATTCTCAAAAGATTTCTTTTCTTCTTAAGCCCTTGGCATCAGCTCCTCATTTTTCTCCTCCCTCCACGGTCCCCCCCCTCCCTCATGAACCCTTGATAATTTGGAAATTATTATTATTTTGTCATATCTTGCCCTGTCCGATCTTAATGCCTTCAAGGAGCAGGTGTTGTATAGTGGAAAGGGTTGTGGAATCAGAAAGAACCAGGCTTGGCCCCTTGCCTCAACCCTTCCAACAGTTTAGCTCTTAGAATTTCACTTTTCTCATCTGTGTATGGGGGCAGGGAGGTGGGGAGGAATGGATATTTTAATAGCCATTTTGAGGCAAAGGATATTTATATAGAGAGTGGCACAACATGCATTTGGAAAATGGTAATCAATGCTGTTCTTAATTTCCTCAGTATGAGCCGAAGGGCTGCTGATTTCTCATTTCTTTCCCTTTTTCTGTGATAGGATGCGACTCAGGAAAGTATTCCAATCATGTTGGTCGGAAACAAGGCGGATCTTCGTGAGGATGCTGCTGTGGACGCACAAACCTGTGTTCCAGGAAACATTGGAGAAAAGCTGGCCATGGTAAGAGTGGAAACTGCACTCTGATTCCTTGCCACTAAGTTGACTCATAGTGACCCTATGGGACAGAGTGGAATGAACCTTAGGGTTTCTGAAACTGTAAATCTTTATGTGCATAGACAGCATCATCTTTCTCCTATGCCGCCACTGGTGGGTTCAAACTGCTGGCCCTTAGGTAAGCAACTCAATTTGTAGCTCATTGTGCCAACAGAGCTCCTTGGTCAGAGGAAACTCACCACCATCAAGTCAGTGCTGACTCATAGGGACCTGTAGGGCAGGATAGAACTGTCCCTATGAGTTTCCACAACCATAACTGTTTACAAGAGTAGAAAGTCTGCCTTGTATTTCTCTTGAAAAATGGCTCGTGCTTTTGAACCAACCGCTGACCGTGAAGTTAGCAGCCCAAGGTGTAACCACCATACTACCAGGGCTCCCTTATTAAGAGTAATGGTGGGTTCAAATCGAAAGAGGGCTTAGGACCCTCAGAAGTCACTGGCTTTGATCTTTAATCTTCTTTACCTTTGCTTAAGGCAGCCCTGGTGGCATTCTGGGTTATGAATTGGGCTGCTAACCACAAGATCACCAGTTCAAAACCACCAGCCGCTCTGAGCCTTCAGTCCTGTAAGCCCACAGGTGCAGGTCTGCTCTGTCCTGTAGGGTCACCGTGAGTCAGAACTGATTGTATGGCAGTGAGTCTGGTGTGTTTTTAAAACCGTTCTTAAGATGTCCTTTGAATATGCCTTGGTCCTATCTGAGGAGACTTCTGCCCTTCTGAGACAGGCAGAACCCCAAATGTCCTACCCTCATTGATGAGCATAAGTAAATAACCCAGAGATTGGACCCCCCACGAAGGTAAAATACTTACTTAATTAAATTTCTCCACTAAGTACAAACCTATAAAACAAAACCTCAAACTCACAGCCATTGAGTCGCTTTCAAATCATAGCAACCCCATCGGACACAGTAGAAATGCCCCCATAGGTTTCTGAGACTAACCTGTTATGGGAGTAAAGCGCCGCGGCGTTTTGAACTGCTGGCCGTGCGGTTAGCAGCCCAACACAGAACTCACTACACTGTTGGCTCCTTGGAGTACAAAGAAGAGTTAAAATTGCGATCTTCTTCTTCACACTCATCTAGTTGCTGGAATCCTTCTATAGTCATGGAACTCAATGCCAAACAAACGAATGAATGTTCTCTTTTGAAAAGAAAGGTTTAATGTCAGAAGGTTACTATGCCTTCTGGCCTTATGTGTATGGATGGAACGTGAGAGACATTTTTGTTTCTTCCAAGATTTGTACTTAGTCGGAAAAGTGTAAAATTATTTTTGGCTATACATTTATATAGTTGGTGAAACTAATTACTGTGCCGTTTATTGTCTTGTGCCATGTTTCCTTTTCATCCCTTATTATCACGCTATTGTCCTTGTGTCAGAATGCTACCTGACCGTTTTATGAGCTGTCTTATCTATAAATCAATTCAGATGCATTTTGGATCAAATAAGAAGCTAATACAATAGCAAACTGATTTGACATTGGTATCCTTGTTTTCTGCTGTCAGTCCCATGAAATTACCGCTTTGTTCTATCTATCGATCGATCTATCGATCTATTGATCTATCTATATCAGCTACCTCCCATCTATCTCGATGGAGCTTTGAGATGGTGCGAATGGCTAATCTGCTCAGCTACCAACTGAAAATGTGGATGTTTGAGTCCACGCAAAAGCTTCTTGACCAAAGGCCAGGGATCTTCGGAGAGTTTGACTGCAGCGCCTGTGGGAATGCTGTGAGTAGGAATTAACTCAACAGCAGCAGATTAGTTGCTTAGAAAAATATCTCTTGGTTTTAGCAACATTGGTGGTGGCTCTTCCTGAAAGGACAAGATGATAGTGTGAGGGTGCCGACCTGAAGGATACATATTTTGGATGAAATTTAATTTCTTGGGCATTATCTTAGACTATTAATTTTGTCTCTCTCAATTTATTTGGTAGAAGAACATTTGATAGCATCTTTAAGATAACTTTGAAACATGAAATTGTTTTGTTGTTCGTTTTTAATGCCATATGAAAATCCTCTGACTAGATGTTTTCCAGGAATGACTAAGATCGAAGCTTGTATTGTTTTTGTTTTATTTTGTTTTGTTTGTGTTTTAAATATTGAAACCCTGAATAGATTTCTCATATGGTAATCACTCTAAGCATGCTCGAAAAGAAAATGTTGTGTTTTTTCTTGTTAATTTTTAAAAGAAGATGTAGCAGGAAACCCAACTAAAGCTTTTCTTTAATTATGCATCTTTTTTCTACAGAACTATGGGGCATTATTCTGTGAAACAAGTGCCAAAGATGGTTCAAATATAGTGGAAGCTGTTCTACATCTTGCTCGGTAAGTTTTGACTTGTATTTGGAAAGTGGGATATTGGATTGGTTATTTTTTAGCTGCTACATATATGAAATTCCTTGACCCCAACATGCAGTTATAACTGGAAAACACTGCCTGTCATTAATGGAGTAGTGGTGTTAGTTGCCCTCAAAGTTGGCCATAATTTATGTTCATCCCAGATACAACCTAATGGAATGTTGCCTGGGCCTGCCCATTTTCATGAGTGTTGGCATGTTTTAGTCCATTGGTGTGACTATTTAGGGGCATCATTTTACAACACTGTATCTGCCCAATTCTACTGTTTTCTGTACCCTCTTTATTGGCTTATTTTCAGAAGTAAATTATTAGGTTTTTCTTCCAAGTCTTTCTTAGTCTGGAAGCTCAGTGGGCACTTGCGTCTCATGAGTGGCCCTGCTGGTATTTGAAATACCAGTGGCCTAGCTTCCCTCACCATGGCAACATGCAAGCTACCACAGTGTGGCTAAATGGCAGCCAGGGAGTGGTCATTGATGACATCTGTCGCAAGTAAAGATTCTGTACAGACGTGGCATGCTGCTTATTCATTATAAATATTGCAGAAATATCTTCACTGCCAAACGAAGCAGGTGTATTTGAGGAGCCATTGACCTTTCTGCAGAATGTCACCCCAAAGCTACCAGTTGACTTTTATGAATCATTTCCAGGAACCGGCATTTAAATATGAGAGACTCTTATGAATACAATTGCCTATTATTATATTCCCCAGAATAAATCGAAGAGGAAAAACAACAACAGTAAACAGTAAAGAAATTGTGTATATCATGGCAATTGATTGCACCTTTTCAAACTCTTTCTTAACCTAATAAAGCAATCATTAAGCTGAGGCAATGTTGTTAATAATAATAACATTTTAGGGTGTAGATTAGAGTAGAAACTGCACCATTGAAAACTTGAGTGTGTTTGAGGGTGTTAACTCCTTAGCGTAGTCTAGGGAAACAACTTCTATTAGCTTTATCTTTTCTCCTCAGCTTTCTGCTACCAATGGGAAGCCGGTCCCTAACTGACCTAAAGGGATTAAATGCACACACAAGCAAGACATACTAACAAAGACCAGCCGAATGATCTGTAATTACAGACAAAACCAAACCATCATTTTAGGCATGCGATTCTTTTTCTAGACTTTACAAGGATTTTAACTTCAGTAGGATGATTGGCCTCTTTGGCTACTATGTATTGAGAATTTAAAAACTTGGTAGTATTTCTAAATGCTGCTTTTAAAATGAACGAAATGCTTAATAAAACTGAGTTCTATTATGAGAATAATTGAATAAAGTTCTATTATGAGAATAATTGAATAAAGTTCTATTATGAATCTTGACATAAATTTTTGCTGTCACTTCAGGGAGATCAGGAAACGATCCTAAGCATTTAGTTGGTCAATTTGACATTGTTCGCGTTGTAGTGGCCAGTGAGCCAACCTCCACCTCATGGTGGTTCCATATGTCTCACTGCCATTGAGTTGAATCTAACTCATAGGAACCCTGTGGAATGGAGCGGAACTGCCCCTGTGGGTGTCCAAGACTGTAATCTTTACAGGAGTAGAAAGCTTCATCATTCTTCCAAGGGGAGGCTGGTGGATTTGACCCTAATGGGTAACCCTTTATGCCACCAGGGCTCCTGACCTCATACATAGTGCAACTAAATACTGTTCAGACCTTTGCCATCTGCATCGTTAATTGTAGCTCAAACCTAGTGATTCCTGGTTTTCATTGGCTGGTTTTCAGAAACTGATTACCAAGGCTTTCTTCTGATCCTCCCATAGTGAGGATGATCTGCTGAAACCTGGTCAGCATCAAAGCAATACACATTTCCACCAACAGAAAGGATGTGGCTGCACATGAGACATTTAGCGTAGAACCTAACCTGGGTTTCCTATGGGAGGTGAGAGTTCTCCCACTGAACCATCAGTATTCCGTCTTATTTTAAACACTATTATTGAAGTAGATTATGACTCAGTGACCCCGTATAGGACACAGTAGAACTGTTCCCTGGGGTTTCAGAGACCATAACTCTTTACAGGAGCACACAGCCTCATCTTTGTACCAAAGAGCGGCTGGTACATTTGACCTATCAATCTTAGCAACACTTATCCTAGTGCATGTTGAAGTGGAATTCCACTCAAGGTGGGAGTCTTATTTTAGTCATTCCGAATCTACAAAATGAAAGGGGACAAATAAAAAATATCTTCAAGGTTCTTTCTGTTCTTTTTCTTGGATTCTATATATAATAGTCCCAACTCCACTGAACTACATCATACTCTTTGAATATGTGATTATTCCGCGGGTCCATAGTAAAGTTGAGTGCTTCCAAAGTGCCTTCGTGACTCCCCGAGACCAGCAGGATTTCTGTTGTGCCATAAAGATAGGAGAGGCTGTAAACTACTTGTGCCCTTTTCCCACCTGCTCCAGTGTGACACCTTGGGTCAGCCCACGCACAGGTTAGCTTAAATATAGCCTGTGTGTGTGTTTAGAGCACCTGGTGAGCAAAGGTATTTTGATAACTAAGGTACTTCTGCTGTCACCTGGACAGAGAGTACTTTTCTTTTTTAAAGCTCTAGACAATTAAAAGCAAGCTTCTTATGACTCATTTATCAAAGAGTTTGTTGGTATTGTTGTTGCCTGGTGCATTATGGTTAGGCCTCTGTCTTCGTCATATTAATGAATGCTCAATACAAAAATTATAAATAAAGAACATATGCAAAGTTTTCTATTTGCTTTCTGCTCTTCCTTCAGATTTGCCTGTCAACATTCCTAAGTTTTAAAATGAGAACGTGGAATTCTTCATTGGTAAAACGATCAATTTAGAAAGTTTTAGAGCCTCTAGGAAGTTGTATTAATGCAAAGCTAAGTTCTTGATTAAGTTCTCATACAAGATCCAGACACACTTCTTCCCCTCATGATGTACAGGCATAACACCGGAACTGGCAGAGTCTGTGTGTTTGCATTATCTGAACTTTATTCAGAGGTGAAGGGAGGCCATAAATGTTTGGGCTAACCACCCGAGTTACTCTGCTTTTTCTTGGAAAACCTCTCAATCCCAGGAAAAGCTTCTCCTAGAAATGCCGTTTCCCTGTTGTGTTCATAGGACATCTTTCAGAACTGTTGTAAAATGGGTAAGTAACCTTGCCATTACCAGAATTACAGGTTTTGAACAGTTTGCCTTAGATTTACATTCACCCAGCTTTTAATTGATTAGTGGCCTGCTCTTTGAGAAAACAAAAACTCGCGTAGGGCAATGTATCAGTTCCGCCCAAGCACTGGACTCGTGTATAAATTTGCCTAGCAGGCTAAACCATTTAAAATGTAATTGTTAAACATATGGTACTTTTGGGTTAGGTACGTTAACTTTGCCAGACAACTCTGTGGGAATTGTTTAGAACTATATCTATTGGATATCCTTAACATGGGACATGCCTGCAATTTTGGTGGCTTACAGAAACTGAAGGCCAGATGAAAGATGTAAATGTGGCATTCCTCTTCAATATTTTCTTTCGAGTTCAACAGTGTCTATATTATTATGACTGTTCAGTGTGTGCACAGCCCTGTGTTACCTTCCGGAGAGTTCTCAAGGAAATGAAAATAATATTTCTACATTAAAGAAAATTGCATGACCTTGTAGTCATTTGACATGCAGCTGACAGAGGCCATTTGGGTGCTCAGAAGGAAGAAATGTAAGTTTTGTTGGTCAAGGGTAGATGCTGGACATAGCAATTAAATTGAGTCTCAGATTGAATTTGCATCAGCGTAGAGGAGCACGGGAGGTTATTTTAGGCAAGTCCAGAATAAATGTACTGGAAGTAATGTAAATAAAAGCTTTAAGTAACAGAATACGAAATAGAACTAAAATAAGTAATAAAACAAGAGAAGAAGGCGGAGGGAAACATCAGACAGGGTAACTTATGAGAAACTATAATAATTTACGAACTATGAAGGGTTCATGAGGGGGGGTGGTTGGAAGGGGGAAAATGAGAAACTGATATTAGGGGATAGAGTGGGAGGCAAATGTTTTGAGAATGATGAGGGCAACGAATGTGCATATGTGCTTGACACAATGGATGTGTGTATGGATTGTGATGAGAATTGTACGAGCCCCAATAAAATAATTAAAAAGAAACCACCAAGTAACTGACTCATGTTTTATGGAAGGTGCTCTGGAGTTGCAGTGCTTCAGCGCTTGCTGAAGGTTGGTGGTTTGAGCTCATCCGGTGACTCTTCAGGTGAACAGCTCTGGCAAGCAGTTCCTGTAAGGAGTGCAGCCTAGAAACCCCTGCGGGGCAGATCTGCTCTGTCACACGGAACCACTCTGAGTTGAAATTGATTCAAGAGCAGCTACCACCACCACCAGGATGTTGTATGGAAAGTTTGCTATGTTAGGCTCATGCCGAGTGGTTTCTTTGTGTTATTTCATCTTTACAATAATCTTGTGAGGATGCGATGGTTATCACATCCATTTTAAAGATGAGAACATTGAGTGTTAGAATGCTGAATCAACTTATTCAAAGGGACACAGCTCGTAATTGGCTAAATTAAAGCTTCCTATTACTAATCTGAATTGCAGACTTGCCGCTTAAATGTTGGTATTTCTCATGGTTCCTTTCTGCACTTGGTTCCCTTCTATTGTCTCAGAGTCGGTCTTCTCTCTCTTTGGTTAGTGTCTCCCATCCCCATTGTATCTAGAGCCATTTATAATTGATGACTTCCAGTGCCTGTGTTTTAACTCTCCACCTCTTTTCAAAATTTCCTGACCACATTTGAAACCACTGGCCACTGGAAATTCCAGAGATGGGCGGATTCAACCTATCAAGACCCTGATGCATAATCTTTTCTTTAAAGGATCCTGGGTGTCTTAGTGCATTGTGCTTTGGGCTGCTAACCTCCAGGTCAGCATTCAAACCAACTAGCTGCTCCATGGGAGAAAGAGGAGACTTTCTGCTCTCGTGAATATTGACACCCCGGGAAAACTAA